CTGGCCGTCCGGCGCCGGCACCACTTGGAAGCCGCCGAACACCTTAGCCGCCTCTCCAGCCGGGCTGCCCAGCTTGCAGGGCGCGCCGCCGGGAGGGGGCGCCGCACCCCCGGGGATCGGCACGAGCGGCGGCGGCGGCGCGAACGGCGCGTGCTGCGGGCCGCCAGGTCCTGGCGGGGGCGGCGGCGGCGCCTGCAAGGCGGGGTGCGGCTGCCCTGGGTAGGTCATGGCGTTGATCTGGGTCATGCAGTTGGCCAGGTGGCCGAGGAGTCGGGTGCGCACCTCGGTGTTAACGCCCTCACACGTGGACAGGAAGCGGGTCACCTCGTTCATGCACTCGCTGAAGCCGGCGCGGTACTTCCCCAGCACGCTCGGGTCTGTGCTTAGCGCGGCTGCGGGCCAGAAGGAGGCGGATGGGTCACCGAACGGCCCTGGCCCCGAAGCCACCGCCTCCGCCCTGGGAGGTCCCCGCGGCGCGCCTCCCTGACCACCCGCCCGCGGAACTGCCTCTGGGTAGCCGGCTGGGTTTAGAAAAACCATCCACCTCTCCACACTAGCTTGGCGACCGACCCCGAGACGCTCCCTTCTCCATTCCCTGTGGCTTCATTTAACCTGATCTGAAGCCTCAAATTTGCCTCCTCCCCACCCCCGCGCGATGTGACCTTGGATAGTGCCCTTCCCCCTCTTCTGCACCATCCGAGCCTTATTTCCCCTTAGGAAGCGGGCGAGGAGGGCGTGCTAAACCAGATGACCCCAGGCTCCACGCAGCTTAAAAACCGCCACGGTTCTAAATCCTTTCACCCCCATCCGCTTCCCCCACTGCCAAGCCGCCCGCCGCCCTCGCCACTACAACCTCTCTCCCTCCCTTTCCGGAACAGTAACAACTTGGAGTTGTGGCTATAAATAAGCCCCAGACCGTGGGAACGCAAGAGTGAGCCAAGGCAGTAAAATGTAGCTGAATGCCTCTCACAACCACGGGCGGAAGTCTGGAAGAAATCACCGCGGGGCGAGAGGGACGCCCGCAGAGGGGGACGCGGCTAGCCGCCCTCACCCGTCATCTGTGCCCGCTGCAGGTTCCGGAGGTGTTTCACTGTCATTTCCAGAATGTCCGCCTTCTCCAGCTTGGAATGCCGCGAACTCTGCACAGAAGAGGAGGCAAAGGAGGAAAGTGAGAGCCTCGACAGAGGCCTCGGAATGGTGGGGGTCCGTCCCTCCCCCCCGGGCACGGCGGCGACAGCCCTAGACCTCGGCTAGAGGGGCCCAGCTCTCCCGCCTCTGAGAATGCGGTGCAGGCAGGGAAGACCCCGCAGGCAAGGGGATTTCATTCTTAATACCTGGGGGAGAGAGAGAGGAAAAAAAGCAGAATTACCCACTTACATCTTTTTTAAGAGCATCCAAAATCAGTGTTTTCAGCTGGCTCAGACTTTCATTTATTCTTGCTCTTCGTCTTTTCTCCATGATAGGCTTTGATGACTGTAAAGAAAATTTTTAAAAAAGAGCGCTTGAGTTCCCATGGGACCTGCCATTTCTCCCCGCGATTTTAAGGGAGAAAGGAGCCCCCAACCCCGACTTAATTTCTTGGGGGGTGCAGAGAAATACAGGTACTGCCCTTACCTTTCTGTGCTCAGATGCTGTCTTTGGTTTATCCGGTGTCGTGTTGACACTGGCTGGGGTAGCTGCCACCGGGGACGAGGAATTTTTCTCCATTATATCAGCTGGCATTTTCTTTTTTTTTTTTTAAATCCCTAGAGAATTTTATTTTTGGAGTTCTTCACGCAAAAATAATTGTTTTGCTTATGTCCCTTTTATTTTAGACTTTCTCAAAACTACTGAGCAAGTGCTGAGGGTTTATTATAATATCTTATGGCTACTTGGTGATCAGTAGCGCAATTCCAGGACCAAGGAGAGAGGTAGACGGGGGATTCCGCTGTTATCAGCACCAGCTCCGGATCCTGTGTGATCCCCAGGCCCTGGCGGCCTCTATATATATCTGGGACTGCACGCGAACGGCTCGTGTGAAACTTCCCAAACTTTCTTTCCCACAGTAACTTTCAGCCAATGGGAGGAGGAGACACGCGGCACCGCTCGTGGACCGCGCCCCCCCATTGGCCGCCAGGCACAAGGCCTGGCGGCCAATGGCGCGCGCCTGAGCCCGGGGCACCAGAGGCTACAACGTCAATCAAAAGGATTTTAACCCTTTGCTACTCTCCCTGCTGGGCTTTGCTTTAGAAATTTTTCCGCATTGGGTTTGCCCTAGTCTAGTTTATTTCTCTTGGGGCTTCGGCCTTTGCTCTTTATTTCCTTTCGTATGTAATAGAGCTGCTTTGCCACTAATAAGTTCATTTGAAATATATATTTTAAAAGGTTTAGAAGGACAAGGATTAAAGGTTATAAATGCAGTGGTTAGAACAGGGGAATGTGTGTAAGGGTGTGAGTTACGAAAAGATCTAAGTGATTTCCCTCTCAGACTCCGCACGTTCGGGGGAGGAGGGGGGTGAAAGTTAACCATGCAAAAAAGGACAAAAATTTTTCCTTTTGCATGCAGAAAAGGAAACTGTGCCTCCATCTTACATTTGCAGATTTTTCAGAGCAAGGTGGTTTTCGATCCCCGCCCCCACCCCGGACCCCTCCCCCGATCCGTCCCTCATTCTCCTCTGGAGTTGGGGGCCTTGGACCCCGCGCTTCCCGAGGAAACAATCAGAATAATTTCCAACTGAGCAGAAAGGAAATGGAATTTCAAATGAAAGATTAACAAGGGGGGGCTTTGATGGCAATGCCTCAAGGACGCGCGCACGTCCTTGCCACCCTTTCCCTTTCCACCCACCGCCTCTTGGTTCTGCAGCGCGCCGAGGCGGCCTGCCGAGCGGCAGCCTCTCCCACCTTCCACCCCCGCGGGCGGCCAGGGCAGCCTCGGCACCCGGCGCGCGCGGGCCCTTTAAGAGCTACACCAGCCGAGCTGCAGTTTGACATCAGCCGGCCGGCGAGGGCGCGCCTGGAGCCGGAGCACGTGCCAGGATGTTTTATTGCCGCCGCGACTGCGGCCGGGCTGGGAGGATGTGTGTGTGTGCGTGCGTGTGTGAGTGTGTGTGCGCGCGCCCCGGGGGCAGGGAGGCGGGGGGCGGCGGCGGGCGGCGGAGCGCGGGGGCTGGTTCCTGGTCTCCGGGAGAAGCCAAGAAGGTAAATAGCAGCTGCTGTGCTCAAGCCTGGGAAAACCCCGCCCCCTGCGCCTGGCCTGGGCTCATTGGCGCGCGCTGCNCTCCCAGGGGGATTTGCCGCGCAGGGCGGGCGACGCGCTCTGCCCCGGCCGGCCGCTGTCGCCCCCGCCGCCTCCCTACCGCTCGCCGGCCTGCCCGGGTCGCCGGCCCCCGCGCCCCCACCCCTTCCGCCCTTCCTGCGCCCAGGAGCTCGGGGAGCTGCTCAGGCGGCTCGGGGCAGCCCAGGAGGCGAGCGCGTCTTGTTTGATGTCGGCCCCCACCCCCACCCCCTCCCAGTCCTCCAGGCTTAGAGGCCGCCGGAGGCCTGGCACACATTTCTCAGTCACTTCATTCCTTCCTTCCTCTGAGCTCCCCACTGAGATAATGTTGTAAATGATTTCACCAGATCTGGTCCCGGATGAGATTCAGCGGTTCCTGGCTCTGGGTGACCTTGGGCAAGCCCCTCTCTTCCTTTCATTACAGGACGCATGCTCTGTGCCAGACACAGTGTTAAACCCTGGGATTACCACGAGAGATACAGTGGCAGATTGCAAGAAACTTATGGTCAGCTCTGGAGGCAGACAGACTGATTTTCTGATTAATGATGGAAGCATGCCTCTATTCTTATTCCTTTCTCTTGGAGCTTGGGTGATGGCCCAAGAGATCAGGAGAACCTAAAAGAAACGCTGAACCATGTCTGTATGGGCAACACTATTGCTGGTCTATATGGGGGAGAGGGACAGGGATGAATATAATATTAATAGTTTTCGTCCACAGGAAGCCTAGGGCAGAGAGATACTGTACTTTTACGTGAAGCTGACATCTGCCTATTTTCCCATATATTCCTCTGGTAGATCCTAGGTTCAAGAGAGACAGTTATTTGTCTAGATAAAAGTAAAATGCTGTGAAGGTTTAGGATAATTGATTGACTCATAAATTGGAGTATCCTGAAAAACTTCCTGGAGGAGGTGGCCTGTGCTTTCTATATTGAAAAATAGGTAGGATTGGGGCACTGGAGATGTGGTGAGTCATGAGGCTGGAAAGGATGGCAGTACCTATGGGATCCACAGCCTAGACTTTGAAGCTTGAGGTCTTTACTCAAGGAACATGGTCTGGAGCCCAGGCTTTGTGACAGGCAAAGAGTGTAAGAAGCCACTGGAGGAGAAGGCTTGAGTCCCTTAAACATCTTGCTAAAGACTTACCTTTACACAATGGAGAGCTGTGAAATGCTCTTGAGCAGAAATGGGACATCAGATTTCCCCTTTAGGAAGATGGTTCTGGCAAAAGAATGGAGAGTGGTTTGCAAAGTTTGAAGGCAAAGGGCCCAGTTAGGAGGTTCAAGGCAGTAAAGGAGGTTCCTAGGTGACAGGTGTAGACTGACACCCGGAAGCACCTGCCTAGAACAAGCTCACCTGGGCGTTGACTGCACATTGTCCAGTGATCCAAGTTTTGCAGAAACCTGCTACCCTTTACTGCAGTGCTCCCCCACAACCTGAAATCTAACCAAGGAATCTTTGTGACTGGGACCTTATTTATTTTCCAAGCCTCATTTTCATCTTCTAGAATAGCCCTCAAGTCTGCAGCCAAATCTGTACCTCATTGCAGGCTGAGTTTACTTACTCTCGCCCCTTGGGTTCCTCTCTGGGATTTGTGTTTGTGTGTGTGTGTTCTTAACACACTGCAGAGTGGGCTGTGTCCCACCATGTTCTGAAGTAATGAACAATGCCTCTTTTGTTGACCTGTGACCTGGGCCAGTGGGGTAGGGCTTTTCTTTTTTATTTTAAGCAGATGGAAAAGTGGTGACGACAGAAAATTGTCTGTTGCTTTTGAAAAAGTGGAGTTTCCCTGTGTGTTTGACATCTTCTTGGTGAAAGGTGATGAGCCTGTGAAGTTACCTGGCTTTCTGCTATGCAAACTTTGCAAGCTTCTTAAAATGCTTCTGCTCAGCATCTGACTTTTTAAAAACTGCATAAATACTCTGACCCAGATTCTTCCAAGGAAAGAAAATCTTCCTTGGGAAGCTTGTTAACCCTTTCTGGCTTCCCTCCAGATCTATGAGAGCCAGTGACTTCCTCTATTAAACTCTTCTATGACATTGAATGCTGTCTGCTCTTGGGCCCTAATTAACTAACCAGGTATACCACCCACTGTCCCTTCCAGCCTAAGAACCTTTTTTTCTCTCCCATTTCTGTCCTCTCCTTGGAATTTGGCACCCCAAAGGTGCGTGGAGAATGTTGAACATAGTCAAGTTATGGTCTCACTGCAGTGCCTAAAAAAGCCTCACTGGTCAAATAGTTAATCAACAACTCGTTTATTGCCACTTTAGGAGTGCTTACACTGGTAGAATGAGCAAATAGTTTAAACACACACACATATTTTCAGATAGTTGGTCAAAATTTTGCCATGAATTTGTTTCTAGGCCAGATAAACAAACCAACCAACCTATGACATCCTAGCCCTCATCCCAGGCATTCAAGAAGAAAGTCTCCTTGCAGATGTGCTCAGAGACTATTTTTCAGCATTTTTATCCTGGGCAGTGAAAATAGCACCAACAGGAGACTCTCTACACCTTCTCAAATGGAAAACCAAGTTCCTACACTCAAGATAAACCTTTTCAGTTTGGAAAGCTCTTCTTAGAAAAAGTCTTCATTTTTCCATCTTCCTTGTCCCCTCCCTGCTCCAAAGCACAGAGAAAATTTAAACTTTTTCTTCAGAGGATGTCTCTTCTTTGATCCCACTTTGAGACAAGCAAGACACCAGGAATCTTGCTCACTGTCTCATGCCCAATAGATGCAATCAGGGGCTGCTGTGTTTGTCTCCTCCCTTTCTGCCCCATGAAGGGTTATTTTTCTCTATCTTATTGCATCACCTGTTTACTTTAAACCATAAAACAAATAACCACATCTCTAGTGAGACTCCCCTTTGTCCCTGGGTATCATAATGGTCTGTGGGTTTGGTTTAAAGCTAAAGAAAGGAGAAAGAGCGAGAGAAGAAGAAAAAAGGTATTTTGCCTGAGGACTTGAAGCTTTTTTTTCCCCCTTTTTTCCTCCGCTTGACTGACTTTCTCACACTCAGATTCCTTGCAGCCTGCCAGGGACGTGGTAGCTGCCCTGCCAAGGGCTATCCTGGGAAGGCTATTGAAAGAGCTTTGAGTAAGTACACACTGGGCGGATTTTCCCCTCCCCTCCATACCTGCTCCGCACCTGTACAGGGAGAAGTCCCACACCTATCACCTGATCGCAGCCCTTTCAGAGACCGTGAGAAAAATAAAGCCCAGGATAGAGAGATGTTTGTCTCTGTAGGGCTGTAGCCAGCTCCCTGCAGTCCAAGTGCCCAGAAACAGCACATTCCTGGCTTGGTGTGCACGCGTGTTTGCCCGCGAGCGTGCTAGGTGGGGGCACTGGGAAGGGTAGGGAAGCCAGGCATCACCTGCATAATGTAATGACTGCCTGGCTGCCTCTGTCTTCTGGCATCTGCCTGACTGATGGTTTTGCGATCCTTACTTCCAGATAAGAGTCCGTATGCACTCACGGCAACAGAGCTCACCACAGGGATTTCTGACCTTAAAGTTCATGGATAAACCCCCAGGGAGCCTGTGAAGGCCCTGAAATGGAATTCTTTCCATGCAGAAGTTTAATAAATACTTTTTGAATCAATGAACAAATGCCTCATTCCCCCCGCCCCAAGGAGAGTGTCCATAGCATTTAGCAGAATCTCAAAGTTTTTTGTGACCCAGAAAGGTTGAGGAAGCTGATGGAGGCTATCTACGCCTACCTATAAGTGGGTACTCTTAAGGCCCAGAGAGGGCCAGACATTGGTTCACGCAGCACAGGGCCAGAGCGGGGGCCAGAAGCCAGCTCAGAGCCCTTTCCAGCATGCTACAGTGAGGTGGGCATTGGGAAATCGATGGTGGGGTTTATAGAGTTGTGATCAGCATCAGAACTTGAATTTAAAATAGATACTGTAATAAAGATACTTTGAATTTCCAGCACATCCCCCCCCCCAACACCCCTTAATTTTGAGGCACTTGTGCTCTGCACTCAGCATTTGGATGGGGAAAGGGATAGGCAAGAAAGCCAAGTGTCTACCCATAGAAGAGGATTCAGGAATGCTTGCAGTGAGAGTCCTGGTTGCCATGCAGTGGCGTTTGAAACAACCGCAACTCTACATTCCATCTTTGATAAAAATAAGTTGCTGCTTCTGAACAAAACTGCCTAGTTGGTTTCTGGCCAAGCTAGGACCTTGAACTGCAAACTAGGGGTGAAGATGGAAAAATAGAAGCTTTCAGCATTTGCTCATAATGTAATACTTTATGCCACCCCCTCCCCCGACCCCACCTTGGAAAACTTGACTACAGCCAGCAGGACCAAGGGAATGTGCACTTTTCTAATGGGCCCTGAAAGAGGATGGTTGCCAGGAAAGCCTTTCCCAAAGGGTGGGGGCTGGGCACTGGGAACAGCTTAACTCCCACATTTGGCCTGGCCTCCGGCAGCAGTCATGGCAGGCAGGCTCCAAATGTGCTCTCAGCTAACCTTTTACCCTCTGAGCAGGGCTGCAGTGAGGCAAGACTTCAAGCCCAGGGATGAAGGTGGGCACTCCCGAGGGATGTTATGGATGTTGACTTGCATGCTTGTGTGTGAAAGGCTCAGAACTACACAGGGCCTAATGCCCCTGGGGGCCTCTGGAAGGTTCAGGAAGGTGGGGTAAAGTCTTAGCCCCTTTACACCTGGGGCATGCATTTGTTTGGCTTGCTCACGCTGTTCAAATTTTGACATCAGATCAAATTCCTCAGAAAAAACAAAAACAATTCAGCTAGCCAGGAGAATCATTTGCATAAAACTTAGGGCTAGATGAATGTGTAAGGCATAGTTTCAATCAAAGTCACTGTCATTGTTATCCTTGCTTATTTTCCTCAGCTTACAGAGACGGTTGAGGGAGGCAGAGGAAGAGATCTAAGAGGTGGCTGAATGGGTCCACTGATTGAATGCATGGGAAAATTGGAAGAAGTGACTGGACTAAGGTTTAACAACCTCCCCAGAAAGGGAAGAGAAAGCCAGAATTAGGCTCAAGTTTCCTGCTCACCAGTCCAGAAACCCGCCCTGCTATATCTGTAAGAATGTTTTGAAATATCATCTGCAGCAAGTGACTAACATTACCACCAGAGATGAATTTTCTGGCTGAGAACCAGAGCTACCTGCTGGTGTGCGGCCATACGATAGACTATGCCCAGCACACAGCATTGTTAAATGCCAGGCTTGCTGCACTGTGATTCCCTCTTAAATCTGCTCACCACCCTGTGAGCTCCAGAAAAGAAGCGATCTTGATTTCTAAGTTCCAGGAGACAGAAAGTCAGTTGCGCAGGGGCCACACAGAATAGCGGATGGAGAGGTGAGAAAAAGAATGAATTTTCCCAAGTGGTAGAGAGCTGGTGAGGCACTAGTGGTAAAGAACCCTCCTGCCAATGCAGGAGATGCCAGAGACTCGGGTTTGATCCCTGAGTTGGGAAGATCCCCTGGAGGAGGAAATTGCAAGTTACTCATCTTCTTGCCTGGAAAATTCCATGGACAGAGGAGCCTGGCAGATTATAGTCCATGGGGTCACAAAGAGTTGGACACAACTATGAACTGAGTGCGCACACACACACACACACAAAGATGGTATTTGCATGTGAGATATATACTTTCCTTTTAGATATCAGCCTTAGGGAACAAGCCTTCTAACACTGGGGGGTTGGAAACTTCTGGTCTCTTCCAAAGAGTTCCTCACTTGTCCTCCTGCCTTGTAGTACTTGACAGTGGACAGAGCACTTTCTACTTCATTACAGCATTTTGTCCTCATAGAAGGTCTTTTTTTTTTTTTTCTTCCATAGAAGGTCTTGATGGAAGGCCCATGGAGGGAGACAGAGAGAGGATTCAAGTGATTAGTTCAGGAGACCATGGGCTGTTGGAGGCAAAGGTTATAGAATAGACAAGCTTCCTGGAAAATACTGCCTCTGAAGAAACAGGGCAGGGAGCTTAGAGCCCAGGAGAGAACAGACTTTCCTTTCTCAGTCACCAGCAAGAAAAAGATGTCCAGAAACTGGAACAGAGGGGAGAAGGGCAATAACTGTCAACTTGGTAGAGCAGAGCAGTAATCTGGAAGGCAAGGAGCAAGGGTATTTTCTTGTGGTGGGAAGCCAGAGGAGGGGATGAGGTGAGGGAAAGGAACCCACTTAGCCAGAGGTGACTGAGCAAGTTCCAGAAAGGACACGGGCAGTTGATGATCATAGATTTTACTGGACTGAGGCTGAGCTGGCTAGTTCAACATCCGAAATCATCTAAGAAATTTCCCAGAACATCTCAAGAGACTGGGTCTGTGACTGAGGGCCATTATAGAACGCTGGAACCTACATCACTTTTCCTCACTAGTTATTTGTTCTATGCTGTTTGTATTGCTATAGGCATAACAAAAGTGCCCACAGACTGGAAAAAGTGATGGAATTGTTTAGGGTGATGACAGGGAATGGGGGCAGTACCGAGACTGCATCCTACTCTGTCGCCAGTCTGAGGGTGGTGGTCCTGGAGAGGAGGTGGCGGGCTGATTCAGAACAGAGGGGGAGGGAAGCACATCAGTTTCTTGTAGCACCAGGGAAAGAACCAAGGACCCAGGCTTCATCTCCAGCTCTCTGACCATGTAGGCAACTGTGCACACATCACAGTGCATTCTGGCTCCCCCCCAGTCCAATTCTAGGGGAGACATCTCCAGCTCTCTGACCATGTAGGCAACTGTGCACACATCACAGTGCATTCTGGCTCCCCCCAGTCCAATTCTAGGGGAGACATTATGGGAAGTAGAGGAGAGGAAGCTCTCCTTTTGCCTGGTTGGACTTCCATAAGCCCCTTGCCTGACTGACAGAGGTCTCTTGATAAAGTCCCCGAGTGTGGCTGCCTCCCAGACCATGTTGCCAAACTGTGCAGGTCTCATCCATGGATCTAGCTGTGGCCATTTTTGCTCCAGGCTCCCACAGGCACAGAGGGACCAGGTACTCGTGTTCAAGTATTTGAGCTCCTTGTCTTGGCTGGGGAGGGCCACTATTCAACCCTTTCCACCCTCCTCACCTGCTCTCAAAGTCCTGGCACCTGGGACAGACCTGGATTGGTGTCTAGAACCCCATCTGGATGGAAGGTGGAGTTCCAGTTTGTCTTCTTTGTATGGAGTGAACCTGTGTGGATGGTAGTCAGACTACCCAGCCAGGGGTTAAAACTGTCCAATCTCCAATAGCCTGTTTAACTTAATTCAGGTCAATGACTATTAGTGAGCACCTACTATGTGGAGGGGCTTCCCTGGTGGTTCAGTGGTAAAGAACCCACCTTCCAATGCAGGAGACGCAGGTTCAGTCCTTGGGTCAGGAAGATCCCCTGTAGAAGGAAATGGAAGTCCACTTCATTCTTGCCTGGGAAATCCCATGGACAGAGAAAGGAGCCTGGTGGGCTACAGTTCTTGATGTTGCAAAAGAGTCAGACACAACTCAGTGACTAAACAATAGCAACTGTGTAGAGGGCATAACCACACACCTAATTTTTTTCAAATTAAATTTGGCTTTATTTATGTATTTACGTATGCACACCTATTTTGACAGCTACTTCCATCCCTGCCTGCTATTCAAATGCTATTCATCTGTGCAGAGGGGTGGCATCCCAGGTTTATATTATAAAAATTGCCCCATTTACTTCCCACATTCTTTACTTCCATTGCTTCTCTGATAAAGAAGTGAAGAAACTCCTTATGGCATCTGGTACAATGTCTTTCACAGCGTCAGCACCCTGAAATACTTGGAGAATAAATGCATGAATAAACTTCAACATTAAAAAAAAAAGTTTTACTGGTGATTCAATGGACCTCCTGAGCGGGTCAGTGTGTTTTTCTAAATTTTCCTTGGTTGCTGAGTGCTAGTGCCTCCGGGCAAGCGCCTCTGGGCAGCAGGGACGCCCCTGTGGACAGCTCTCGTCTGTTGCAATCAGGTGGATTGAGAGGAATCTGCGGCTGTGCTTTCTCAGGCCTATCTTTATTGATGGTTATTAAATACACACCACCACATGGCAATACGAAAGTACAAAGCAATTCCCAGGGTAAGGTACGTGGGAAGGAGTGAGATACTGAGCTCCCAAACAATTCTACAGTAATCGCAGTCTGCCATATCTACGTATGGTTAATAAGTAAGATGTAAGCAGGCAAGTTCCATCACTGGGCAGCAGATGGAAAGGAAAAAGGCCATGGGAGAGATCACTAGTCCTGCTGGAAAACTGGCAAAGAAAACAAGCAGGATACCTGGGAAAGGTGAGTCTGGTGGGCCATCACCGGGAAGTGTGGAAGCCTACACCTTGTCCCCAGGACGGACCACTGCTCACATCCTCCTGGCTCACTCTCCCTATGCATGCCAGCCCCTCATGGAAGATTTTGTATAACCAAGAATATATAGGAATCACAGCTGGACACACTGGGTTAAATGTGTCAATACAGAGCATGAAAACACCTGTTTTTACAGAGTACCCCAACACACCTGTTGTTTTATGATGCTGAGTGTTATTGATAAAGGGGGCTATAAAGTCAAGGTCTCTTATATTTAAATAGCACCTTCCTTGATATTTTACAGCTGAGATTTGACTGTGATTATTTCTGTTAGGAATGTTGAGTGCATATCTCTATGTATGTGCAGGGTGGCTAAAAAGCAAAGACTCTGGAGCCCGACTGCCTGGGTTCCTGTTCCAGCTTGTTCACTTTCTAGCTATGTGACATGTCCATTCTATGCCTCAATTTACTTGCCTGTTAAATGGGGAAAAATTCAAAGTGCTTACCTTAT